TCTCAAGGCAATTTACAGTTCAACCAGATCATCCAGTCAAATTGATTGAAGTTTTCTATCTAAGGAAAAGCAGTTGATTGCATCGACTCATTGACTCGAATGCGATCCCTCACACTGAGCATGCTTGTAGCGACAGTGGAGAGGAAAAACTCCCTTTTAACAGGAAGAAACCTCCAGCAGAACCAGGCTGAGTGTGAGCGGCCATCTGCTGAGGCCGACTGGGGTTCAAGGAGACAGAAGCAGGGGATGAAGAGAGCACATCCAGTCAGTCACAATCAGAGAAACAGGACTACACTGAAAAACAGGCCAGTCTCCACTATATATAAACAAAGGTGTTAGTTGCAGCAACACAGCTGATATTTCTCTCCAGTATGGTGTCACAGCCAAACAGCAAAAGACAAATATTTGTGTGTGTTCTAAATGACAGAGGTCACCACAAGTGTAGATTTAGTAGTGAGGGCTTTATGGAAAGCAAGTCTGTCTTTAATTATTTATTTGGTAAATAAGGATGTTTTGCTCTGTAATTTTCCTGTTGATGCAGTGTGATTACTGTAGACTGAACCTAAATGTCCGCCCCTCTGTGCACATTGGTCCCTGCATGGCCCAATGAAAATTTCCTGGCTCCACCACTGTGTGCAGCTCTTTTGTCTATAATTGTTTTACATCTTTTTTTAAGCTCAAGATAACTCCATTCTTTTTTTTAAAGTATAAATACAACTATTCAATATGAATTTTATTGAAGCATTGTTATGATTAATGTGATATCAGGTTCTACTCTTAGAAACTGTTAAAAAAAAATGGATGATTAATGAAGACATTAATTCCATTTGGCAGGTGAATAAAGCGCTTTGAATGAATATCCGCTCCAAAATTATTAAACTTAAGTCCATTCCCGGGGGGGGGGGGGCAACCAGGGATTTGGGGCCCCATCAAAGACAGTGATATTGCGCCACACACAAATAAAATGTATGTAAGCTTTTAAACTGCTATAAAGATGCATTGATTTCTTTCATTCATTATCATTAAGTAAAATTACGCGCACATGGCACTTATTTTGCCCCGGTACGAGCAAACTGCCGTGGACAGACGGGGAGACCTGATGTGATGCAGGATGGGGATTTTAGTGAATATATTCCTGCTTTGTTTCACTGTTTACTTCTAAAAATGAGAATCAGAATCAGAATCAGATATTACGGAAGAGAATTAGGGCCACTGAAAAAAAAAAAAGTAAACTGATTTTTAAATTTTATTTCAGTTTAACATGGGAAAAAAG